CCTCTGATTGGCTAATGTTTGTTGCCTTTTTTGGATAAGTTTAGGCATGAGGAGTGAGCATGAGCAGATTGGGGTTAAAAATGTCAGGGGCAGAGTAGAGGCGAAATACGGGTGGGGAAAAAGTAACACTCGTATAACTGTGTCTGTGTGTAAACACATACTGAGCTTAATGTTGAGAAAATAGCATTGAAAATGTCCTTGTTAAAATGGAAAACGATAAAAGTACTCGTTAGGGGTATGTTAGGGCAAAAAAAAAAAAAACACAATTTGGTCCAGATTAAATGAGATTATTGTGTAAATCTGTATATGTATGCATTTTCATCTCATCTCATTTCTTCTTTGAAAAGAAATCCTGAAAGTGCATTCAACGAAATGTTCAGCTATTCCTTTAAAGGGATTGCTAGTGGATGAAGTAGATGATGTTCCCTGTTAGTGTGCCGTAATATTTTGTAATATGTAATATAATAAGGACAATATGATCAAGACACATCTCAACAACTATTTGAACGACTGCTATAAAACTTCGTACAGACATTCGTGGTTCCCAGAGGATGAATTGTACTGACTGATGAGCCTCTGACATTTGTGGTTTTTATTGAAATTACAGAGCAGTTGGATGGATTGCCATTCTTGCTGCACACATTCATGTCCCCCTCAGGATGAATTGTGATAACTGTGATTCCATTTAACACCACCATCGGTTCACAATTTAATTTCATTTTGGTTGATAATACCTGCAAAACTAATGACATTCCCATCAGCCTCATCTCCACTTTGTGTTTATACTAACTACCAAAACTAGCTTATAGTTCAAAGAACCACTGTGCCTGCATGGCTATAGACTTTTGTCTTGTTAAACTGGGTATAACAATCCCTTAGTAATTTCATTCAGTTTTTACAAAATGAGACATTAAGGTCAAAGACAATTCATGATAAACTATGTGAGAAAATTAAAAACCAGACTGTGGACATGCTGATTTATTTATTTATCACAATTCACCTGATTTACAGGAGGAACAATTTATCTACTTCTTGTTGATTTTACAATTTTTTATAAAACTGCTGATTGGGATTGATGACTACACTAATAACATTAGGACTAAATAAAGGTTTTTTGTGGCTGTGTCTCAGCTGGATGACTGTTGAACCATCTCAGCACGACATTCCTCCATCTTCATCAAGAGTTCAGTGGTCATGGGGTGATCATCACCGTGGGTCACCTTTATGATCTGGTAGGCCTGGAAAGGAAAAGCGAACAAATTAGCTGCCATTCCGCTATTAATAGAACAATGTGGGACGGTGCCATGTCTAACAGATGTTTAAAAATGAAACTCATGTTTGCAACCTGTCTGATCACCTCTTCTGTTACATGTCTCAGACCTCTGCAATTAGCTTTGTGGGTAAAATGTTGTAACTGATGATGAAAATGATGATCATTGCTGTTAGGTCAGTATTTGATCCCTCACACCTCTTTGAATGTATCCAATGCATCCTCAATGTGCTCCAGGTAATGCTGCAGCTTTCCGACTCTCATCAGCTGGACTCCATGGGCAGGATGGGGGTCAGGGTAATATTGTCTTTAGAAAGGAGAAAGAGAAAAGGAAAACAGAGGGAGTGGCATGGGTAATTTTCTGTTGGCTCTCAGAAATGATTTTACCATTTCACTGTAACATTTAAACAGATCTGTCTATTAATATGTGTAAAAATGGTTTCATGTTTTTACATGGGTTGTCAGCTCTACCATGTGAGCTACCAGGGCACCCCAAATCCTTCTGACACTCCAGGTCATAGGGTGTCAGCAGGATAAGCAAGGTATACATCCTTCTAGCTCCTCCTGGAAGATCCATAATGACTTACTGCCAAAAATGCAGAAAAAGCTCTCCCTTTGGTTATAAACAGCTGGATGTCAACTCCTGTTATATTCCCATAGCAGCCCCACAAGACACCCAGAGGGACACTGTGAAAGAAAGATGTCAGCTAGATGGACACCCTGCCAGTATCCTTGCAAGAGTAAAGAGCTGGTCCAATGATGCCTGACCTTGTTGGATGGATTCCACATACCGCCTCAAGATTCAACAATCGTCCTAAATCTCCTCACTAGCACTGTGGCAAAAGTGTTCCCAAAGAAGCTGAGCAGTGTGACGCTCCAATAATTGGAGCACACTCTCCGGTCCCATTTTTTAAACATGGGAACCACCAGAGGCACTGTCCTTGAACTCCACACGACACGAAAATGACAAGTAGATTGACTGTTAGGATGTTTTTTATCACTGAATAATTTGACACCATGCACACTATACTTGTGTAATACTTAAAAGTGAGTAACGTTTATATCTGTTTCTAGGAAGCCATAAAAACCCAGTTAAAGCACATTATGCAGGATATGATGAAGTTCGAACATAGAAAAACACATGCACTTTACACTTTATCCCCTTAATTTGTCAGTTTTCTTTGCTTTGACATTCACAGCATGGACATCAGACAACAAGACAGATGATTAAATAGACCAGACTAATAAAATATGCCGTGGTAGTCAGTGTCTGCATAAAGTACGAGTTTGTAAGAAAGAGAATTTTTTTATTTATTTAATTCTATCTGTACACTGTGTATGTGTATGTATTCATAAATATACTTTTTTGCACACTGTCACCTCACAATTGTCAGGTTTCACAAATACGTAGATACACAAAGAGCAAGTGTTGCTTGACAGCTTTTGATGACATGGTTCTGATCAGTGATCACACACACACACACACACAAACAAACAGAAAATATTTTCATCATCTTTCTTATTCTTTCTTATTATAATTTATTTAGCCAAATTTGTTCTTCGAAAATATAAATAATTATATGATAACTCAATTTCTAATCATTTGTATGCACACATGCGTGCAAATGGTTACGCATAGATGCTTAATGACCTTTGCACAGACAACACACACAGCGACATGTATAAACACACATAAAGAACTGGGACAGTCCTTGTTCTATAAAGATAAATACACACTGGGGTCTTTTAGAAGCAGCAGCTTTGTTGTTGGTAAACACTGGAGTTCTCAAAATGTTCATTTATCTGAATCTACTTGTCATTTATCCTCTTTTCTTCTCCACCCCCTGCTCTAATCTGTGCTTCCTTTTGCATTTTCACATCTCCTTTTCTCTGCTCCAACCTGTTTGTTTGTGTTTTTTGCCCTGATAGCTGCAGGGATTAAAGTTGGTGATGTGGGCCGGTTGGTTGGTTTCCTTCTTCTTCACCCTGATCTCTCTCTCTGCTCTGTCCTCTTCTTGGTCTCTCTGCTCTCGTCTCTCCTCTCTCTCTATTACACACACAAAATGTTCTTCTTTGTTATTTTATATAACTGCTGTAAGACGGCATTTAAATGCTTGCTGACAAACCACACTGAGACACAAAACCTTCTCCATTTAAATTTCTTCTCTGGCTCATTCTCTCCATCTGACACAAACAAACCACAAGAGCTGTAAGTAAATACAGACACAGGAATACACACACCAGCATTAATGTATGAGCATGCATGCACACAAAGAAAAGGTCAATTTGTATCCACTTCAACTTCTATAAGCTGGCGTATTTGGCAGATTTCACTTCTCTCCAGAGTAAACACACCACAAGAAGGTCGTATCTCATCTAAATAGAAACTATTAACAGAGCACAAATCTTCACTGTCTCTTTATGGATGGAAAAACTGCTCTTTATGGATGAAAACAGAACTTTCTCGCACAATAAAGTTTCACTCCTTAGATTTAAAAGGTAAAATTCTGAAAAGAAATTAATTAAACTTGTATTTGCATTCATTTCAATCTACAGCCTCTGATAATTTTCCAGAAGAGTTTTTCACTCACATTGCTAATAGCCCATTCTGTTCAACACCTCAAGCCTAACTAAATAGTAACTGACAACTACCAATTATAGAGTGGTCCTCAATCCTGCGGATTAAAATTCAAATATGAAACATAAATTTCAAAGACTAAACCAACCAACATTAGTCCTCCATGAATAATAACACATAACAATATTCGATTTAATTTACCAAGCAGTGATTCAAACATCCATGACATGTACCTCTTTGCATATAGAACCACACAGCAATTAAAATAATTTAATTAACTTGCTGTCTTCTGAATTTTACCCTCCTTTTTCCCCGGGAGAGTAAATTGAAGGGAAATGCAGTCTTGCCGTTTGCAGCTAGTTAGAAAGCCATAGCTCTCGGCTATGAGTAAGAGAGGGGGCAAGAAGGAGAAATTAACAGTTGTGGAAAAGTGTAGCATTTCCAG